GATATTTTCATACAAGTATGTTGAGCATACCCCCTATAGTCCTGCCCACCCCCTTTCTCCATGCCATGCCCCCTTAGTCATGCGCTGTTTTGTAAAGAACTTTCCCTGACTGTGGTACTGATGGTGGGAAAGCAAAGAAGAAACAGCTAGTGTGCAAGAAAGGGAAGATCCAGGTGAGTGATTATATTACTCAAGTCAGATGGTGACCAAAGAAGACAGGAGAAAGGGCCAGATAAAATAGATTTTGAAAGTAGCACTAAAGTATTTCTGGCAGGTTAGCCTTGGGGGCCTACTGAAAAAGCAGTTGAAGATGACTCCTTTTCTTTTCTTATTTTCTCCTTTCTTTTTGTGTTTTGAGAATAAAGCTCAGATGAAATGAAAAAGAAAGAACAAACGGGGAGATCTGAGTTCAGTTCTGGCCAATTTCTAAGTTTGAGATTTCTGTTGAGCACCTAAGTAAGAATGCAAATGAAGCACCATGTGCAGGCAGGGCACCTAGCGTGCAAAGGTACAGGAGTCACCAGCATATCGGAGGTATTTTTATTGTGCTACTCAAGTTTTTAAGAAAGTCAGAGTATATAAAGGTAAGTTCAGGGACTGGTCCTATTTAAAGTAGTGGAAATGAAGGAGAATGAGCAGAGAAACAGAATTAGGAGAAAAAGAGAAGCCACTGAAACAAACAAAAGCAGAGTGTGTGGGAAGAAGAGATTTCATGAAGAAAGGAATGGCATCCTATGTCAAATGCACTGAGCCTTGTGAGGGACTGCAAAATGGAGGATCTGAGCCCAGACCATCAGTGACTTTGGAAGACGGTGCCTGAAGAACAGCTGTTTGCCATGTTTCTGAATACATGTAAGGGACAAAGAGTGATAAAGAAGAAAGCAGGCCCAGGGGCATTTTTCTGGGGAGAAAAAAAACTTCAAAAACAGCAAAGGTGGCTAGACATGTGGATCAGAAGTGGGTACAGGTGCCTGCAGGTGGCAAAGAAAATGGTGAAACCTGTGGATGGTTTTCATTTTTCCTCAGTAAAATAAGGGCAAGGATGATAAAGAAGATGCGTAGAGTTTAAGAGAATTACAGTAATTTTAGAAAGTGAAATGTGAATAGATTAAGAAGAAGAGATGAGCTTACGATTGGTCTCAGTTTCCACCTTGGGTTGACAGTCAAGGACTCAAAGGGATGTAGTTAAGAATAGCTATGCCTCAGCCCAGCAGGTGTGCAGAAATGTGAACTCCCCTGGCTCAGACCTGAAGGAAGTGAAGAGCAAGCTTTAACTAGTGGTATGTGTGCTTGCGTGCATGTGTGCATGCTTGTAGGGAGTGTTTTCTCAATCAGAAGGACATTCCTAGCTGAAGATGTATTTAAGAGGTGCTAAGCATAAGATGAAGCATGCAAATTGTAATGTGTAAGTAGAAATGGTAACACAAACAAAAGTGAGAAAAAATCTAGATTCAAGTGTCCTTTCTGAAAAGAGCGGACCATAGATGAGGGGCTAATCAAAGTAGGATGCTTAACACTGGGACTATGAAGCTACAGAGTAGTAACAGGTTTAGGTTACGACAATAGTGATTCATCTCTAGGCTAAGGTTATTGGAGATGAGGTCACATTTCTGATAGACCAGGAATCTGTGTTGAACATCAGTTGATTCCGAGACAAATGATGTGATCACTGGGTTTGAAGGTCTAATTTTGAAGAAGCTAAATAGCTACACAAAAAGTGTTAGTTAAGCCTGGAGTCATGAAGGGGTGGAAGAAATGGGGCGAACATAGCCAAAATAATGTACAAAATGTGCTCGACATGACACGGGACTGCTCTTTTGCATTTGTAAAAATGTGGCCCTGACATTACTGAATCCCAGAGATCAGCATCTCCACTTTAGAAAGAGTAAGATAAGATTCAGGGCAACGGAGTTTAAGTACCATGACCAAGAAACATTCTAAGTCTGAACTTTGATCTCTTAGCCACCATGTCCAGCTGTTTGGACAGGTGCAGCCATTATGATTGAGGAGGTGAAATTAACAACTAGCTCTGAGATGTGAATGTTGAATCTATGTATGGGATTAGAGGCTGTAGAAAACAATATTGAGTGCAAAGCCTAGCACCATACATGATCTCATCTAATCCTCATATTAATCCTGTGTGTTAAGTAATTTGGCAGGATCATGGGGCTAGGAATTAGCAGAGCCTGTATGTGAAATGGCTCACTCTGACCTCTCTACAACTACTTCTGCTAGCTATGGGTCGCCATTACTTTTCAGAGATGCACCGAGGCAACTTTAAGGAGACTCTAGGTGGTTTTGAATGAATATACTAATAAGCAAACCGTCGCTAGTTATTCCTTTTTCGGAATCTAACAGAAAAGTCTCATAATTCCTATGTTTCCATGGGAACATTTGTCAGCACAGAATGTTGCATTCTTCCTGTCATGGAATGTTCTCTCCAGAAATTCATGCATTCACTTCACTATTATTTACTGAGCAAATAGTCTGTGCTGTGCTGGAGACAGAGGATACTATCTAACAAGGCGCCCCCCTCCCTCCTCACTCCCTCACCACCGCCAGTCCTACAGTGAAGTGTCAGCCTGCTGCTGATAGCAAACAACTCAGCCACTCCACAGGGCTTTCCGAGCCTGGTGCAACTTAAGATGTAGTATTTGGTCTAGAACACACGCTACCTCTGAGGACCTTGTTACCTAAGAGATCCGTCGTCTCCCTAATGGTTTGGCACAAAGCATGAACAGCCATAGAGCCCTGGAGATGGAATCTTAGAGCAGAACTCTAGAGAAAAAGAACCAGGGTATTTTCCAAATCGGCAACTTCTACTCCAAATGGCCCAGTTGGGAATATGGATTTTAAAATGCCTGTCCCAATGTGGCATGTGACTGCTGTGTGGTCCCTCAATCACCACCCGTCTTTTCCTAGAAAATTTGCTTTAGCATGTGACATATAAGCACTTATGGCTCCAGGGCCACAAACTCTTCTACCAGGATGGCAGGCAAAGCTGAAGCAACAGAAGCCCTAGGCTCTGACTTTGAGGACAATGGGCTGTGTAACTAATGCTTGAGAAGAATCCCACTCTGGTCAGGCTGGAGCTAAAACGGCAGTGTGGTAGCCTGTGCTGGTGGTATACCAGCGAGCATTTTTACATGCTAAGAAATTCCTGCACTTTCACCACGTGCTGCCAAGAATGGCACTATCAATTAGTGCAAACTCACCTGGAGCTGCCCCAGGGAGGGGCCAGGGGATGCGGAATGCTAACCTTTATCTCCAGGTCCATGAAGACACTAACTGGTGTCCTTCCTGGCTGCAGCAAGAGTGCAGCCCCCACTTTCGTCTGGATTCAAACCGTGAGTCACACTGCAATTTAAGAATTACCCTCTTTGTCCCTTATATTTGCAAAAACTAAGTGAGACAAACCAAAGCGCAGGTTTTCTTGGTCTAGAAACGGTAAAGAAAATCCCATATTTTATTGGGATTTAAAGACTGAAAGATTAAAAAAAAAAGTCTGCAACATGTGTTATTCTTGCATTCTCTCTGAAGATGGATTAAATTTGAGTCATTTCTGTAGTTGTGAGACGACACGGCGAATCTGTCCGTTTATAGTTTAAGGGAAGGTAATTTCAGTTTTGGAATAAGAGAGGTGGCACCACCTTTGAGATCTGCCACTCCCCGCGGGACCGAGGGCGGGGCCGGTCCTCGTTTCTCCCGGTTGCTAGCAGCGTCCCTCCGCCCGTCGCCGCGCTCCAGGCAGCCGCCAGGGGTGCTGCGTTTCCCACCTGCACCTGCGGTTAGGAGTGGCCCCACCTCCTAGTCTGCCTAGTGCTGGTGCCTCCGACTCCTTAAGCGCTTGGGGTGGGGGCACCGGCCCCTGAAAGGGATAGGGCCGGAGGGCCTTCGCATCTCCCCAGGCTGGGTGGGGTTTGCTAGCACTCGATCCCTGGTGTTGCCCTCTCCTTACCCCGAGGGCACGCCCTCCGCTGCCAGCTTTGCTTTGGGTGATCCAGCCCTGCAGATCCTGTGCCTCCCTGGATCTCCAAAGCCTGGCACGCCCACTATCGCTGCCGGCACAGGGGCCAAGGCTTCCAAGTTAAAGCACTCTGTTCACCCTCGTGGGCGCCAGTGACACTCCACAACCCGGCCAGGTGCCCGAACTCCGGGTGCAGTACAAAGAGGCCTGCCCTTTCCTGGTCCTCGCCGCTGCCACGCCCGCTCGTGCCCACCACCCCCTGCCCTCGGTGGTGGCCGGACGCGGATACTCCTCCACTCCCTCCACTGCCTCCCCCCGCCCCCACAGCGTCGATCAAATCCACCCAGCGCTCTCCGAAATCCCACGAGCCCAGGCCTCCGACTGCCGCTTCGCCGCCCTCCGCGTCCCGCACTGGCCAAGAAGCTCCCCACCCCTCGCCGCCCGCCGCTCCCCCTCGGTCCCGGCCCCTCCTCCAGGCCCTCCTTCTTCTCGCCCCTCCCCAGCCGGGGTGGGAGCGGCGGCAGCTGGAAGGGAAGGGATGAGGTCATCCTCTCCCTCGGAGTCAGCTGGTGGAGGAGAGGCTGCGGGAGGAGGGAGCGCGCGCGAGGGGAGGAGAGGAATGTGCAGGTCCG